AAATAAATAAAAAAATCTTTAAATTAGCTAATGAATTAGTTCCAGTAAAATCTAATTTACTGCCGACAATCACCAAAAACTAGTTATTTATCTTTAAAACATTTTAAAAAACGGAAAATATTTTCCCGCCAAAATATTTAGACAAAAGTTAATGTTACAACGAGTCTTAATATGGAGACCATAAGTTATATTTTATCTATTTTTTTATATCTATATATTTATTTCCAAACTCAAAAATTTGCACAACAATATCCATAAATTTTTTTTATCAGACTAGCTATAACTCGCAGCTTTGATTGCCTGAATTAGTATATAAAGTATCCTACATCTTAAATCGGAATGGTTATGTTATTTTTTTTGTGTACTAAGTTTTATTCAAATTCTTTTTTTTTATAACACAAGGGGTAAACGAGCAAGCAACTCATATAATGGTAAGTGACTACCGCCCATGAGCACCCACCGCACCTGAGAAACTTGCAAGTGTTCTGCCGGCTTTTAAAAAGGATCATGCTCTTTTCTTAAAGGTTACGATATCGTAATTCCTTGATTAACTAACATCGAAACACCTTTATAAACTTTCAGATATATATTTTAATTTGAAAGTAAAATAAACATATATAAACAATTATGAAGTACCTCGTTCGTGATTCACTGTTCATCCCAAAGGTCGACTGGTAGAGAATGCTACTAGCATTAAGTCCGTCTTTTGTACCATAATTTCTTTATAGTCATTAAAGTTATTTAAATAAACAAATAAAGGTAAATAATAAAATTTATTCGATACTGTTTATTTACTGATTGACTTATTACATATTTATCTTCTACAATGTTTTCATACTTATGATTTAGAACGGTAAACATGTTGACTGTCGACCCGACGAAATGTGGTTAGCGTCGCTTATGTTATAGGTGTAAACAGTATATCAGTTAATATCTACCTAACTAATACCTACTAATTTAATTGTTACATCAAGACTGTCCAACCACAAATACAAGTGTTTCTCGTATAGTCATAGAAAAGAGAACAAATACATCAATGTACCCAAAATATTACCCTGCGCTACTCCAAATTTATATACTTTCAACCGAGCGTAATATTGAAATCCAAATTATCGATTTAATCCAGAGAAAGGCATGGGTGGTATCATGGGCGAAACAGTATACTCTGTTATGCCCATGGTACTGCTCATGTCTATAGGCGACGGTTACCACTTTCCATCAGGTGGGCCGTCAGCTTGTTTGCCATTCTAAGTTGCATAAAAAAAAACTTATTTTTACGGTTGATTAGTAGAAAATGTCTATAGCATTAAGTTCGCCTTTTGTATCACATTGTATTGGCCGATAAGGTTTAAATAAATAAATAATTAACTTCTGCCGCCAAGTTCTGTCCGAGTTTAAACTGAAATGTGTAGCAAGACCATAAATTTAAATGAGCAAAGATGACGCAAATATATAATATAAGAATTTACCGCGAATATAAAAATAAACCACTTAAATAATCCTGCAGATTACAAACCCTTTCAAAATTATCATTTGACCCTTACTATATAATAATGCTCTTTTATGGTAATTAACGCTCCTTTCCACTCAGGGTTTGCTGGAAGAGAACTATTGTAGAGCTAAGTTCGCTCTGTTATACACCTTTATTTAATACTAACGGCCCGTCCCCGGCTTCGCACGGGTGGACATTTTTACATTTTAAAAAGTGGCCATTAAGACTGCACACGCGACGGAAGCTTAAAAATGGAATAACTTCTCCCGTTTTCTTAACATTTCCCTTTCCTGCTCTGCTCCTTTTAGTCGTAGCGTGATAAAAAGTATGCTATAACCTGCCCAGGAGTGTGAAGAATAATTGTACCAAGTTTCGTTAATATCCGTCGAGTAATTTTTGTTTCTATAACGAACATACAGACAGACAGACAGACAGACAGACAAATATTTTACTGATTGCATTTTTGGCATCAGTATCGATCACTAATCACCCCCTGATAGTTATTTTGGAAATATATTTCATATACAGAATTGACCTCTCTAGAGATTTATTATAAGTATAGATAAAATATAACAATGTATTTTTTTGTGTACAATAAAAATTAATAAATATATTCCATTTTAGAATTAAAAATCTTAATAACATAGTCAAAAGAGCGTGATTTATTGAGATGGATAGAGTACAAAAGGTTCTTAATCCTTAATTAATTAACGCACAATTAAAGTACACGCAGTGGTGACGACTATTTAAATCTACGTACATACATACATACATATCTGTCATGCATGTCTCCCATTAGGGTAGGCAGAAACAATGGAACGCCAAATGCTTCAATTCAAACAAACCTCTTTCGCTTCTTCCACATTCATCAATCTACGTTTCGGAATAAAATCTAACAACAATAATCAGGAGGGAAAGGGATTTTTTTAATGGATGATAATGGAATGGTAACCCCACCCGCGCTATCGGTATACACCGGCGGGGCACCAGTGAACGATGATAGGTGAGGATGTTAGTTGGTCAGTTAGCCTATCGTGACGAATTCAACAAAAATTGTTCACGATGGTTTCCAGGGGGAACCACGTGGAGGTCGACTTAATAGGGCATATTGCTAGCAATGGGGCTGTCAAACTCCATTGCTAACAGTCCCTTTCCCTCCGGAGGGAAAGGGATTGTTAATAATGAGGTAATTCCCCATTTCTAATAATATATCCTGTCAGGTTAACCTCCACGTGGTCCCTCCAGAAAACCATCGTGGTTAATTACTGGTGAATAGGTCACAGTGGCCTATTCGAGCTAAATTTAATCTATCTTTATGCACTGGTATTCCGCCAGTGTATACCGATAGGTGCCATTTCATTTTCAACCGATTTCAAAGAAACAGGCTCTCAATTCGATTGTAATTTTTTTAAGGTTAATACCTCATAACTCTGACAGTTTTATGGTAATTAAATTTTTTTTTTAGATGAAACTATATGCCTACAGATTGGTCCCATAGACATTTTATCAAAAACGGTTCACCAATTTAATTTTTAAATCAAAATAACTGGTTTTGTTTCTATTGAAGTTGGTTTTTTATGGGGTACAATCTTTAATTGTCCTTATTAAAAAAAAAAAGTACATTAATTAAGGTAACAAAAAATATACTTTACAGAAATTGCACAATCGCATCCCATCTACAGCACCGCCATTATTCCTACTCATCTCCTATTCTGCCTTCCACTGAAGGGTGGTGGAGTATCAAAATATGTTTTTCTCGAAAAATCCAAGTCATCAAATAAGATTGCTTCGTCGAAAATATTCATTGAAACTGTTTTTATTACATCAAAGCCTTCTTTATAGAAACGAAAATTACACCATAATTATATTTTTGTATTCAATTTAATTAGTTTTAATAACTATTTGTAACGAGTAATACATATGATCTCATGACCTATATACTCATATATATAGTTATAACTAAGGGCCGGTAATATATAGCAATATCTATTTATATATTTTACTTACAATATCTATATATTGGTCCAATAACGAATATGTTAAATGTCTGTCGTCCAATATTTAATGTCAAAATGAAGAATCCAATCGAAACTGATATAGACATCCAACCGGTACGGGCGATATTTATTTATTTATTTAACTCTTTATTGCACCATAAATAAAAATATACAATGACAAGTGAATAATTCAAGTGAAATATAGTAACATAAATATAGATTGAAATATACACATAAAGGTACAAAAGGCGGTCTTATCGCTAGGGCAATCTCTTACAGACAACCTTTGGTTAAAGGAGAACAGATAGAAATGAGTAGGTGACGCAAGAGTGAATTAATAATTTTTCGTGCATAAAATACAAAAACCTGTAATGCACAAAAATATCAATTGCAGATAGTTTCAAAATGGGTGATGACTTTTTTCGCTATTGATGGTCAAAAGAATCCAATATATAGATTGGAGTAGTATCAATATTACCCAACTCTACCCATATCCAGATATTTCAGACAGTTTTTTAACCAAGATATTGGGAACGATAATAATAACAAACCTAAAAAAAGAGAAGTATCCAGACTCACGACGTGACCGAAATGTGGTAGGTGACATCCTTCGAAATCATACGCATTTTTTTTTATACCACGAATGTGGCATACAAGCATACAGTTCGTCTGTTGGTAAACAGTCACTGTAGCCTATAAATAGCCTGCCATACTATTCTGCCAATGAACGGTTTTATCTTAACTAGCTAAACTCAGGAATAACACCTCAGACGGTTGGGTTTCCGAAGCAGTTCTCTTGCAAAGGGGTTTTTTTATGAGTAAAAGTGGATTGATAACCCCGCCTGTGTTGTCGCTATACACTGGCGGGGCACCAGTAAAAGATGATAGGAGAGGATGAAATCAGACCATATTGGCTCATCAAGCCGAATTCTACAAATATAAACCACGATAGTTGCCAAGACGAACCGCGTGGAGATCAGCCTGATAGGGTATATTGCTAGCAATGGAAACTTTCAGATCAAATTATTAACAGTCCCTTTCCTTCCCAACTGCAGAGGACTGTACTTTCGAATATTGGCCAAATAGTTTTCCAGTTTCTCTCCCTGAAGTTCTGAACACTGGCTGACTGGCTGGTGTGGACTAGTTTACCATCTCTCCTCCTCAGAGGAAAGGAATTGTCAGTAATGATGTCTAATAACCCTATTAATAGTAATCGACCTCCAAGCGGTCCCCCTAGAAACCATCGTGGAGAATTCTTGTGGATGGATGGTTGTTTCGATGGGCTAACTAACCTGCTTTTGTCTTCATGGATTATCTTTTTTATTTATATCACTGAGGTGGCAAACAAGGCATACGGCCCACCTGATGGTAAGTGGTTACCGTAGGCTACGGTGCTCCGTCAGTGTATACCGATAACCAGACAAGGTTACAATTCAATCAAAAAAAAATCCCGGTTACACGGATGAAGTCACGGGTAAAAGCTAGTAAGAAAAATTCTTAAAACAACTCACCGATTCATCTATGTGGCGAACACCATCTTCATCACGTTGGAGACACATCCAGATATCACGATCGTGTTTAGACAGTTTTATATTTCACAGGAACATTAGCGGTGGAAATAGTTCAGTACCAAATGCAATGCCTAGCGGCACTCCGCTATCGCGTTCTTGCTTCGACTGAAGCAATATAACACCTGATGTTTTGAATACAATTCTGAAACAGAAAAAAAAACAATAATAAATCCAGGAGTCAACTATATTTGTGTTTATTTCTAGAAGGTTCCGTGACCGTATATAATTATGTAGGGTTTTTAATGGATGATAATGGAAAATGGTAACCCCGCCTACGCTAACGGTATACGCTGGCGGGGCACCAGTGAAGGATGATAGGTGAGAATGAAAAGGCAGATCAGATATCCGTCGTGATAAATACACCTAGAGTGCAGTACGATGGTTTCAAGGGGGACCACGTGGAGATCGACCTGACAGGGTATATTGCTAGCAATGAGACTAGTAGTCCGGAAGGAGACTTTGTACAAAAGTCGATTGCGGTCGAGAGGTAGCGTATCCCGTTAGCGCAGGCGGGGTTACCATTCCATTTTCATCCACCAAAAAAAAAATCATCCGGTTGCACCCCCGCAGCATTTACTGATACCATTGGAAGTTACCATTCCATTAAAAAAGTCAATAATAATTAATAACGGTACCTTCCCACCTTTTAAACATTCACATAACTTCACGACCATTATATGCAATATGTGCGCTTATGTGATGTTTATAAAAACATAGTGCTGACTCAATACAATCAACAGTAAACTAAATGGTGGTTTGGCGGTCACCTGATATCTCCTAAACATGATCGTGTCAGTTACTAAAACATTGACTCATGCTTTATTGCATAGTTTTAAATGTTAACAAACTATATTTATTTTTTATTACGTCGACAGAATTTTAATGAAATAATATTATAATAAAAATTATTCGAATCAAAAATAATAAGAGGATTTAAATAATATGTTATAAAATATATATATATATATATATATATATATATATATATATATATATATATATATATATATATATATATATATATATATATAATATCTTATAGGTATAGGTCCAACAGTGGGATGTTAAATTATAGTTAAGTAAGGAAAATAAGCTTTTAATTAATGAATGATAATGGAATGGTATCCACTCCTGCGCTAACGGTATACGCTGGCGGAGCACCAGTGAGGGATGGCAAGAGAGGACGAAGAGGCAGATAAAATATTCCATCGTGATGTGTACACCTGCACGATAGTCTCCAGGAGGACCACGTGAAAGTCGACCTAAAGCTGTGTTTTTTTAAACATTCACATAACTTCACGACCATTATATGCAATATGTGCGCTTATGTGATGTTTATAAAAACATAGTGCTGACTCAATACAATCAACAGTAAACTAAATGGTGGTTTGGCGGTCACCTGATATCTCCTAAACATGATCGTGTCAGTTACTAAAACATTGACTCATGCTTTATTGCATAGTTTTAAATGTTAACAAACTATATTTATTTTTTATTACGTCGACAGAATTTTAATGAAATAATATTATAATAAAAATTATTCGAATCAAAAATAATAAGAGGATTTAAATAATATGTTATATATATATATATATATATATATATATATATATATATATATATATATATATATATATATATATATATATATATATATATATATATATAATATCTTATAGGTGTAGGTCCGACAGTGGGATGTTAAATTATAGTTAAGTAAGGAAAATAAGCTTTTAATTAATGAATGATAATGGAATGGTATCCACTCCTGCGCTAACGGTATACGCTGGCGGAGCACCAGTGAGGGATGGCAAGAGAGGACGAAGAGGCAGATAAAATATTCCATCGTGATGTGTACACCTGCACGATAGTCTCCAGAAGGACCACGTGAAAGTCGACCTAAAGCTGTGTTTTCGTTTGAATGGAGGGATTTTTGTATTAGCCATTAACTGTATACTGCTGACCATAGCCTTTCCCATAAGGAGGGTTTTGCCACTTAGCAGGCGGATTAGCAACCGTAGTTAGGCTTTGATGATGTTTTAAGAGGGACGCTGCTGTTTATTCCTCGACCATTAAGTTTCTTTAGTCGTGAATTAGCAATTTTAGTAATTTTTAATTCACGAATTTTCTAACCTAATATTCTATAGCAAAAAGAGGGGGAGGGTTTCTTATTAATGCGGATTATCAATCCCATTGCTAGGAATATAGTTTTTTTTTTTTTTTAATGGATGATAATGAAGTGGTAACCCCACCTGCGCTAACTGTATACACTGGCAGGACGCCAGTGAGGGATGATAAAGCATGTCAGTTAGCCCATCGTGACGAATTAAACGATAAATTAGTAACGATGGTTTCCAGGGGAACTCACGCAGAGGTGGAACTGATAGGGTATATTGATAGCAATGGGGACTAACCTCCCCATTACTAACAATCCCTTCCCCCCGATATACCTTGTTAGGTCGACCTCCACATGGTTCCCCATGGGAAAGATCGTGCTGAATCGCAAGTATATTCATCACGATGGGCTAACTGACCTGCCTTGTCATTCTCATCTGTAATTTTTCACTGGTGCCCATTCCATTACCATCCATTAAAAAAAACGCGCACATGTCACGCCTGGTGTTCCAGGCTCCTATAGGCTATGGTGACCGTTTACCATCACACGGACAGTATGCTTGCTTGTTCATTTGTGGAATAAAAAAGAACTCTATTACAAACAATATATAAGACACATTTTTTTTACTATCAAATTATTATCAATATTTATAGATACTCTTTATTGTTTGTCTCAAAAGATTACAGTAGTAAACTTATTATAGACACAAACAATTACAAGAAATGATCACACAATATTGTACATAATATAATATTTATCAATTTTATTTTCTGCCAATCAATAGTGACTGTAATTAAAGACTATTTAGATATTGTACATCGTATAAATATTTCTATGGACAAAATCAAAAGAATTCAAATCCAATACCTAACTCTACTTAAGACATGCTGTCTCTACCATGTATTATCGGTAGTTATTTATATAAATTAGTCTATAATAAAACATTTATACAGATTTCACTATCAGGCATGATATGATTAGGTACATACACTTATGCACTACAATAAACATCTTGTTTATTATATTCTGCGAGCTGATAAAGTAATTGAATACATATTCGGTCAAAACTAGATATTTGCAATTTTCATTTATTAGTAACAGCGCCATCTATTATTAGTTTGATAAATTACGTTATCATTGCACGTACTTTGAATGTTCTAAACAACGCCATCTAGTGAACATAACCTGTAGCTATTTTTTTTCGAAAACGTCATGCCTGTTGCATACAGTCAGCCAATTGTTTACACAATACAAAAGACCCCTTGTTTGTTTTTCGCTAGACGTTTCCTGGTTTGTTTTGTGTGTGAACACGTGTATGTGTGTGTGTCTGTTTTCACAGCCGGCCGTATAGAGGACGGTACACAAAATGTTGTTGTTTGCACGAGTCGAGTCGGTAATAAATTCAGAGTTGAAATATTCTCGTTATAGGTAGGTAGATATGGATATAGAGTAATAAGTAGGATCGATTGATATTTTACTTTGTTACGTCACTCCGACAAATCTGTCTTATCTATTAAGTAACACATACGTCACTTTAACAAAGAAAAACGTCTTACCTCCTAAGTATTATTTTATATTTTTTTTTAATGGGTGATAATGGTACGGTAACCTCGTCTGCGCTATCGGTATACACTGGCGGGGCACCAGTGATAGATGGCTGATAAAGATGAAAGCAGGTCAGTTAGCCCATCCTGACGAATTCAACTAGAATAAGCCACGATCATTTCCAGGGACCACGTGAAGGTCGACCTGACCCCTGTCAGCAGGGTATATTGCTAGTAATGATGCTATTTGACCCTATCATTGACTTGTCTGTTTACAGACACGCTATGCAGATTGTACAGTGAGGAATCGGAATCCATAAAACAACTTATATGCAACTGTAATTCGTTGGCAAGTATGCGTATGAAGTTAATGAGATGGCTTTTTTTAATGGGTGAAAATGGAATGGTAACCCCGCCGCGCCATCGGTATACACCGACGAAGCGCCAGTGGAAAATGATAGGTAAGAATGAATGCAGGCCAGGCCATCAGTTGGCCCACCATGATGAGTTCGATAAGAATTAAACATGATGGTTTCCAGGGCAAACCACGTGGAGGTCGACCTGAGAGGATATATTGCTAGTAATAGGAATATTAGACCCCATTACTAACAATCCCTTTCCCCCAATGAGATGGCTTAACCTAGGGTTGTCATCCGTCCGGGTTTCCCCGGATTTGTCCTAGTTTAGAGAGCATTCGGGGAGCGTCCCGGCGGGGCTAGTTCGAATTTAAAAATTTAAAGTCTTGGACCGCTCGCAACACACGCATTGTGTGTGTTTTTACAGCATGTTTAAAAAGTTCTGGGCTCTAAAATCCGGGGTTTTAACGGGTCTTGTCCTGGTTGCCAAATTTTAAAGATGGCAACCCTGGATTAACCAGATTCACAAGACTATAGATATTTTAAACTGCAGAATACCGTAAAGGTAATACACAAGATATATAAAATGATAGTATAATACTGGAAGAAGCACAAAAGATCTCAATGGAGATCAAGATTCAACGGCTTAATTGACCCCATACGCGAATAAAAGGTATTAATTGGGTAAATAAACGCATCATATTTTTAATCCAATTAAAAAAAAACAGAAGTCATTTTCAAATTCACCTTAGAAATATTTTAAAGCGATTTAAAAATATAGGCATTTTTGATTATTCGGAACCAAGTTTGATTTTTATTTTTAGAAAAAATAGTCCCTATTGTATCAAAATCTATGATACAAAATTATTTGCATCGTTTTAATACAAATGTTGGGACACTTGATACGACATGACGAACTTATGAACATTATAATAGAAGGTAAGATAGAAGGAAGGAAGGGAAGAGGGAGACCGAGACATAGTTACATCAGGCAGATCAAGGAAGGAGTTGGTGTCGTGTCGTATCAAGAGGTGAAGAGACTCGCTGAAAATCGTAGTGAGTGGCAAGAGCTGCACCGACAGGAGCGAAGCGCTTAAATAGGATAGATAGATAGTTTTAATACAGT